CAGTTAGACCAGGAAGGCACTTTTGAACGTCAATAATATAAATTTAAAAGTGAACTATTTGCTCATTCCTAGGTGTAGATTCCTATGGAACAGAACGAGCAAGAAACTCCATAGGTTAGGTACTGTATTCCAATCAGGTTACAATACAATTTTATTTTACAATACAAATCGACTCCATGCATCCACTGTTCTGTTTAAACAAATGTTTGTGCGCGTGTTGGCGATGCTTGGCCAACATACGCACAAACATTGGTGGTGTTGTTTTATAATTGGTAATTTTGTCTAATTTGATATTATTTACTAGTTTAAAAGCTTAAAATATAACGTATACTTTATGGACTTATCGTAAGTAAGACACTCCGGCCGTAATACTGCTTTTTCGGTTATTATTTTTGCAAATTGCAATTACGCACTGCGGCATCGTGAGACGTCAGTACGTTGGCCGTGTTTGGAGCATACTAAACAAAATAAGAGCTCACTTCTCAAGTGAGCTCTTATTTGTCGAGACGATTTTCTTGCGCCAACCCGATATCTAGTTGTTATTGTTGATCGAAGTGTTTTTACTTTTATAATTTGCGTAACCATTGAAAATGGAATCTGCACTCAGAGACATCTACTGTGTAGCTAGGCAATCTAGTCTACACAAGAAATTAGTTTACGGTTATTTCCACAGATGTCTCTGAAATTAAAATAATATTTTTGTTCAATTATCATCCATTTTAATAACTTTGGTTTGTCTAGAGTCCAACAGGCTCAAGGCTCATTAAGTACATTAAAAGATGATTTTTATCTACAGTGAATCCTTGGACCGTATTCAATGACACAATAGTTTAATTAATATAATTTTATATTTTTCAATATTAATTAAGTACACATAACATCTTTGGTTTATTGTTTTCAGTTAAAGTTTAGGTAATGTCTTTTTTTTTAATGGGGAAAATCATCGAATGACTGCTCCCGCCTGGGTGAGGCGGGAGGGAGTGTCAGACTCTTACTGACTAAAAACCACCCCGTTCCTTCTCCTGCACGTCGAGCCGGAGCCCCGGTTACCCGTTAGGTTCTCCGCGACTCTAGGTAAGGGCTGAGGCATGTTGATGAGTTGTTTTTAACCCGTTTCTTATAGGTACGGTTTTGGCATGTACTTATAATATTCTAGGCAAAATCTAGTTTGATTATGATAGTCATATCATAATCAGTTTTTGTTTAATAATTATTGACTTAAACTTCGTCTTTTGTAAACTTAAAAATATTTGTTTTAATATTTTTTTCTTCTTCTTCATCTAGTACTACAGTCCTTTGATCATTAGCTTTGTCGATGTATATGTATATATTTACAAGTGTATTTTAAAGATTTAAGAAGATACCTAATATAATTGCATATTTCTGTAATTAAGTAACTATAAAGCTAAAGTTAACTGGATATCGTTTATTACGGTATGGTCACCAATCCACCAGCTGTCTGTGTGTCAATGAAAAATAGTCAGGTATATATTTTTTCCCTCATATAGGTAGACTAAATTGCTTTTAATTATATCTTATCAAATAGGATCTCCGTTTGAGTTCGGATTTAAATAAAACCAAATTGCATTAACGCAAGCAATCAAGACCCGAGTGAATAGGTTGCTTATGGGTCGACGTGCTCCATCGTAGGCCACAACATCGCTTACCAACAGGCGAGATAATAGTCAAACGTCAAATAATCTGCATTAAACTGTCAAACACCAAGCGGTCACCGGTAACCGCAACCTATTGTTCTATAATTGTGTCTATAATGACGGTACTCGACGAGTTGATGTAAAATAAAACCAAAATTTAACTTCACAATATTTATTTAAGTACATAACTAATGAGTATAATGTTTGCATAAACTACATTCTTAAAAAATACAATGACATGATATTAACTTTAGTGAATCAATAATAAATCTAGGTAGCACTATGAAGACATTCATTGTTTATCAAAAATTGTTGAAATATTGTAAATAAATGGCTATAGCTTCAACCACGACCGTAGTATCCAAGACCAAGTCAAATAGGAAAGTCAATATTTATAAAGATTGTAGACATTTTGTTTTAAAACTGGTTGAAAGTTTGTTTGAGACTTGTATTACTTTTGTTCTAAGGAACACCACACATAGTATATATACCTACTAATGATTTAAAACAAGTACATGATTCAGGAAACTTGGAAATTTTAAGCTTAACGTGCATCGTAACATTACGTCACGTCACGTATAAATTAGTTCCGTGAGGAAGCCATGATGCATAATATGCAATCAGCATATATATATATATATTAGTTTAGTTTGGAGTAAGTACTTAAGGTGCTTCTGAACGGTTATTCTTAAATGAGTTAGTATACAATAGAGGTGCAAGTTAAAATATTACCACAATGACAAGATAGCACAATGAATCTAATTAACACATTATACACATAGATAATAGATATGTTTCCTACTCATCTAGACATAGTTGTTCTTGATGAAAATACGATAAAGTTCTACAAACACTAACTAGAAATAGAACTTACACTTATATATGTAGACCAAATAACATCATAGATTATATATTCATATCTTATCTTACTTTAAAAAATATGAGGAACTGTGCGAATTTGATACTTTATGGCGATGTTACGATTTTTTTGTCATTACATATTATCATTTTTAATAACGATTTCTCAGTATTGCTTAGAAGGTTTCTTAACATCGATTTAAGTGCATAGTTTTGTATTTTTCCATTGTGATAATAGTTGATATTGTTCAACTAATAATGTATGTGCAGCTATTCATATATTCTATTGAAGAAATGCATCACAAATTTCCAATACAAAATATATAGGAGCAAAACCGCTCTTTTATATGCAATAATTTAAATTTAAAAACAATATAAAACAATTTATATATTTATAAATATAATAATATATTATTGATCTCTTCTAATTAACTGCTTTAAATGTTTGTAGTGTATCTAAGAATATCAAAATCTACAACCAGTACCTTTGTTCCTGTATGCGCACTTTTGTCTATATAATAATATTGGTGTTTATATATAAAATTATGGAACTACGTATATTGCTTATAATTTGCGTGAGGTGAATGTTTTCTTAAAATAACTAAATCTAACTACAAATTCTAGCTTTCTATCATACCTACCTTTTTTACTATTATATTATAAATATCTAGTTTTGAAGTTCATCTACTTCTTGTATAAAAGTCAATGCGCCTTTGATTTTTTTTATTTATTGTTGGTGATAAAGTATTGAATAACGTAAGTTTTGTAGAAGTCATAATGAGAATTCGTATTGTAAATTAACACACGTGTGTTCTTTCACTATTTTCTCTCACTTTAAGAAATATCCTCTCTATTAAGATCGTCTGGAACCTCTCCCTCAAGCTGAAAATAGAGATACAGTGTACCTCTAGGGTACACTGTATCTCCATTGATTACTGTATGGCTAGTCTGCCTCTAGGGTTGCCAGGATGCCTATTCTAGTTGGCTTAGCAAGGGTCATTAACCCATGGCTCCCCCATCCACTGCCAAAGGCCCTTCGGTGGGTCTAGCATCAGGTGCCTGTGCTCCCCTGGAGCCGGAGAAGCTAGTGGACGTGATTAGGGTAATTCTGTTCAAGATGATGGACATCATAAGGTCATCTGTATAAACAAGCCTGAACATCTACCTGTTATCCTCCTCTAACATGACGACACAGTTTTCAGTTGGTGAAAGTGAAACTCCTGTCCTCGCTGAGCAACAGCGGGCTCTGCTGGCTGCACGCTGTCGACAACGACAGTGTGCCGCAACATTATGATTGAATGATAACGATAACATAATAATGAATCGATGAACATAATGTTACTAGAATTCTTTAATAATGCTGTTGTTTCAAAATTTAACACGTTAAGCTATTGCCGACTCCACTAGCATCTATGTTCTTTCTATAATCCTATAAAGTATTCCGCAATTCCTTGGTTTCTTGATAAATGATCTCATAGTTATTTCAGTACGTCTTCTAGGCTTTCTTAACAATATAAAACTAAAATTGTCATTTGTAACTGCTTGAAACAAATGTAATAAATTTAGCTTAATAATAATTTTTAAGTTACAACATTCGGTAAATGGGTAATAGAGATTTAGACGGTATAAAGGCAAAATATTTGTTACTTAAAAAATAAGGTTTACCGTTTATAATAATTGAGTCTGCTTCTAGGTTAAACTATCAAGTTACGGTGCATGGTGCTACGTTAGTGTGAATGTACACACGGCCACACATCAATCTATACAAAACCAGTTTATCCTGGTGTCGCGTCGCATCATCTTTCCGCACTTTTAACGTTCAGTTTATAGGTACTGGTTATGTAAAGCTCGATGTGTAGCCGTGTGTTCCAATGTAGCACCATCTTCGTGTTTCGTTTTCTGGTCGACAATACTCGACTAGCTTCAGGTCACGACTTAGGATTTTAATAGTTGTAAGGATGTGCCGTAACAGGAATTGCATCGTGGGGTCTACGAGCAAGACTATTAGAAAACCCGGTGCCCCTTACAGGTACTGAAGGCGGCTACTGGGGTGAGGTAAAAATCCGACACTCCTTTCTCCTCAAAATGCTAGGCAACTTTTAAAGGCTTCTCGTATCAAAATAAATGCGCTTTAAATAATGATTGGCAACTAAATCCTTAATTTTTCTTTTTTTCCTATGAATGATAATTAACTACTATTTAATTTTATTTTACTACTAACTTTGATAATCTTTTCAGGGTATTTTGAAATTAGGTTATTAGTTAATAAATATTTGTGCATCACACTGTCTACCCCCCTATTGCTTTGTTAATTAGTCTAGCTTCAAACTACAACACGCCTATGTTTTCCAATATGCAGTTTAATACAAAAATAATGACAACAATTTGTGTACTTAACAACTTTTAAATGATTGATACTATTTTAAAATATAACTATAATTGTATATACCTATATATATATATATATATTGATATCTTGCTGTTTGTATCAAATATAAAATGTATTTATATGACTTATATGTCTTTATTTCAGGCTTATGCCAAAATTGGTTTGATGAACAGTAAACTAGCACTTCTCTCGATTTTTGTTCTCTATTTGTTTGGCTTTGTTTTTCTTACGTCACCTACTTATAATATAACAATACTACATCTTAAGACTAACCTTTGTTAAGATAAACGCAACACAATTTGTACTTTAATGTTCAAAGAAAGCATGCATACACAACAAGCCCTTCTTGTTTTATATATCATAAATGATGATCACTTGATGATCCAGTCACTACACCACACAGCATGACTAACTACTGCACTCAGAGTTTAATGATTACTTCCAAAAACCGTCGTTAAGGATTAGGTTAAGTAGCCATTAAATGCCTTTGACTACGTCACCGTCTCTCATTCGGTATATTTCTACGTGTGTATTTAATATGAGGAATACTTGAGGTTTTTCAATTCCTACCTTTTTAAACATGCTTTTACTATTTAAAGGACATCTTAATAATAGTCTGGCAACTTATCTTTGAAAAAGTGAGGCGTTGGTACGTCTAATTGTATATTATTATATTACATGCCAGGCATAGAGTTCGTCTGACATCATATGAGTGTCCGATAACGGGATGTGAGTTGTTAGAAAAAAAATATATTAAAAAAAACCATAGGTTACAAATTACTACAGGTACTCCTAAGCTTACGCTAATGGAGGATTCTAAAGTGGGGCACAGTATTAGTTTATGCGGGGAAGGAGTGCAACAACCATTTTTGTAAGCAGAGTGAGAAATACCCTAAAAATATAACGAACACTACCAAAAGTTTGACTTGCATGACGTATGTGTCTCTCATCTGTCAGGCAGTCGATAAAAAAAAAGAAATGATGTTAATATCCGCGCTGAGAAGTCATAGCAATTGAAAAATGATGTTAAAGTTGATAAAGATCTACACCGTTATTGGGTATTTTTGTAGTAGAAGACTGACGCACGTTGGCGCCGGTCTTCTCCGCGGATCAGACGTGTGTAAAGCTGGCATGGACAGCATCCTCCTGGGAAATCTGGGTGCCAGAAGTAAAGTACTGAAAAATAGAAAAAATGCGTATTAGTGTTTGGAAAATAGACCTGGGGCCCTGGTCTGCTATGTAAACAAAATTTAATTGTGATAGCAGACTAAGACCTGTATTCAAGTTCTTTTTGTGGCCAATGAAAGTTTTAGAGGTTGCTATGTAATTAGCATAATAGGATTTATTTTGGGTTTTTTAATCGAACTGTCTCCGCAACACAATTAAAATTTTTTTAGTCACTTCAAATAGCAAAAATATTAATTACAAAGATTCTCTCGTTCAATACTTGTTAGATATAGTACCATCTTAAGAAATATACTTGCGCTCACTGTTCCCTCACTTTAATAACCGCATTGCAAGGCAGTTCGACATGATCAGAGAGAGGTCAAGCACAGAACCAAAGGCATTATGTATTTTCCAAGGATAAAGGTAAGGGAGAACTTTGTTGTATTAGTATCTATATAGGTATATACCCATAAGTTTAAATGTAATATAATCAGGTAATAAGTAAATAATTAAAAATTTTATAAGTCCGATGGTTATCGAATTGGATTACGTGTGGAAAAGGTAGTTGTTTGTGCAATAAATAAATAAAATAAAAGAGGGTTTAATACTTCCCCAATTTCTGATTATAAGATTTTTTTTACTCGACGCGTTTCATATTCCCGTTCCAGGAATTCTCTCTTAGTCCGCTAAAAACGGCAATACATGCTAAGTTTTTGCTTTCTAGGTCCAGAAGTTTCGGCTGTACGTTGTCTGTCAGTCAGTCACAGAGTATCGAAAGAGTTATTGTATATGTTGCTGATTTCCACGATCCAACAAAACCCTAATAAATTATATATCTAGACTTTTCTCAAGAATCACTCTTTCTATTGTGTGTTGCAAGCGTTCATAGACCATGGTAACCACTACCATCAAGTGGGCCATGGGCTCTTCCTGCCACCGTCGTCATATAAAAAAAATATTGTGGAAAATCATATAATAATTTGTCGTGGTGGGCGCGGACTCAAAACCAACCAACGGCAAGTACCAATGTGAGATTTTTCGAGTTATATGTACTTTCTTAGATTATTTAGGCATCTGTTTTTTTTTTACTTTTTCCCTTTCGTGTGTTTACAAACAACTATTTGTGTATCAGACAAAGAGTTGCTCCGTGCGGGAATCGGACCCGTGACACGTTGCACGGCAGCCGGTTGTCTAGCCATCGCACTAACCGCTGCATCACTGACAAACGGTGCATAAAAACATCGTGAGATAACCGGGGCTTATAATTTCTAATTATAAGTTTGAAATCGCCAACCTGCATTGAGCAAGCGTGTTGATTTATACTCAAAACTTCTCCGTATGAGAAAAGGCTTCGCTCAGCAGTGGGCATTTATAGGCTGTTGATGTGTGCTATAATAATTTGTTTCTTACTTTTCGAGTAATAATTTGTTTTGTAACACTTCTAGTTTTCAGACATATAGAAAGATGTAGCGGGAGAAATCGTTTTATGATTGCAAAGACTACCTAACCTCTTTACTTGTTTAACGAAAATCGGTGATATATCGGTGAGATATATATATAATCGGTGAGATATTACCTTTCATTATGTTTCAAACACACTGTATTTTTTAAATCAATTACGGTATACATTTTCTATTAGTACCTACATATTATTTTGTTAACGGCACGTGATTTGCTATTTCGGTAACAAAATTGTTAATCTTATACTGTCGCCATGTTTAGTTACTTGGTAATAAACCGTAGGATCGTGTATGTAGTCGTCCGATGGCCGAAAGTTGACTGTACTTATTTTTATAGTAGTAAAGGTTGTCAATAGTCCCTAATGAATTACGTGATTTGACTGTCGTAGCCTATCTCTTCTCGGAGATTATAAAGATGTATTTCTAATCTGTTGCTATGTTTTACTTGATCTGTTTATTTGTGGCTGTTGAATTAAGTAAACGTCTAAGAATTATTAGGACATAGAAGGTTTATTACTTGTTTTTTACTGCAATTATAGTAAGTAACTAGCTGTTGCCCGCGACTTCGTCCGCGTAGAATAATGACTTCTGGCAGAATTTAGGCTTATGAATTAGTTTTTATCAAGGGATATTCTACGGTAATGGATGTCGTCAGAATTAATTCAGTCCCGTAGATGATAGCGTGATAATATGTAGCCTATATGTTTACCATACTTGTTAGTAATATTCATGCAAAATTTGAAATAGTAGTGCAGTACTTTTTGAGATCATCACGGCCATACATACAGACAAACAGACAAAAATTCTAAAAACCACATTATTGGCTTCGGTATCGATTAGAGATCACGCTTCAAATATTCTTTTAAAAAATATTCAATGTACAGTTTTGACTTTTCTACGATTTATTATATGTGTAGATAGCTGTTGCCCGCGACTTCGTCCGCGTAGATTAATGACTTCTGACAGAATTAACCAGAATCAATTCAGTGCCCAAGTAAGATTTACCTATTTTGAAATGATTTATCGTAGTTTCAATAAATAAATAATCCCGCAGGGATCTTACCAGTACAGTGCCCGATCACGTAAGGTTTGAGTAATAAAAACTATTCTATCGACTATTGTTGTACCGAATCTCTCTAGAATAAGTTCAGTGGTTAAGAGTTAGAGAGTCCTGGGGCATTGACGCATAGTTCCCGTTCTCGTGAGACATCTGTGAAAAAACTATCATACGTTACCCAGGTCCCAAATCATCGTTTTACCGAATGTAATTCAAAAAGATTCAATGATTCTAAATTCAACGGCTAAGAAGATTTATACAAACTCTCATTCCCTATTTTATCCCCTTAGGGGTGGAATTTATCAAAATCCTTTCTAAAGAGATACCTATGTCATAGTAACTTTATGCATGCAAAGTCTCAGCCCGATCAATTTAAAACTGGCAAAGTATCATACTTTGGGGTGAGAATGTTCAAAAACCTTTCTAAAGGGACGTTTACGTCATAATATCCATCTGCACGCCGAATTTCAACCCGATCGGTGTAAAACTGACAAAGCCTCACACAAACGTTCATCCCCTATTTTACCCCCTTGGTGGAAATTATCAAAATCCTTTCAAAGCGGATGCTTACGTCATAACATCTATCTGCATGCCAAATTTCAACCCGATCAGTTAAAAACTGACAAAGTTTCATACAAACTTTCATCCCCTTTTTTACCCCCTTGGGGGTGGAAATTATCAAAATCCTTTCTTAGCGAATGCCTACGTCATAACATCTATCTGTATGCCAAATTTTAGCCCAATCTGTCCAGCGGTTTGGGCTGTGCGTTGATAGATCACTATGTCAGTCAGTCAATCAGTCAGTCAGTCAATCACCTTTGAATTTTATATATATAGAT